ATTGAGTTTACAAGGATCTCAGGGACTGTCAGCAGTGTGCCATGATTGCTTAGTGTTGCCTGAAACCGGCCCTGGACTGGGGAATTGGTGGGACACATGAAATGTGTGTACTAGACAGACTAATCCAACGTGTTTGCTTTACAGAGGAGGAAAGAGCACTCCAAAATGGAAAGGTGACTGCTCAAAATCATTCAGCAGGTTAGTGGCAGAGTTACCTGGTGCTCTTTCCATAGCCCCATAGCTCCTATTAAGTGATAATTGTGGAGTTCAACAGGATCAGCAGCAAAAACCAGCAAGAGAATTGCATTATGCTCAGTGCAGTATTTGTGTTAAGTGTGTTTCATCTGATTCCTTGAAAGCTGCTGATGTATGTAATATAACTGTATTCATCAAAATACCTGATTATTCAGAGCATTCCTTGACTTGGCTGGATAGTAGCAAATAACCATCCCCCAGGCAAGTAGCAATTTATTCCAGAGAAGAGGAAGAAGACAGGTCAAGGGCTGCATTTTTGTGTGTGAAAGGCCAGGGACAAACGTTTATGTCATGCTACTGTTTGCCAGGCTGACCTGGGCTTGTCAGTAAAATCTGACATGCTAAAAGGCATTTGAAGGAATGAGGGCACTCTAAACAGCAAGCTCAGCTAAGCTGAACCTCGGTGGCAAGATTTCATCATTTCTAAATATTCCTGAAGTATGAGCTAATCAACATGTGAACCCTAAGGTACAAGTAAGAATGCAAAGGTAGAGAGAAAGAAGGAAAAGCCTGCCAAGTTGGGCATCTGCATATCCAAAGGGTTGCTGGCCAGAGAGGAGTCCTTTGGTGGGGGTTGGTGCAGCTGGGGAAGCACTAGAAATAAATGAAGCAGAGTGAAAAGAACCTGGACTTTCACTTCCATCGACCTTCAACTTAACCCTAACTCTGCTACTTGGTAAATGCTAACTCCAAACCCTCAGAGGTCCCTTTGCAATTTCTCTGGGCCTCAGTTTCCTCAGCATAAGAAAGAGGTAATAACCTTTATCTTTCAGGAAGGTATAAACTTGAGTGAGATAATTATGTCAAACATCTGTTCATAGTCACTCACTTAGTAGGTGCTTGATAAATGTTCAAGTTATGTAATTAATTAACATACTGGTCCAATATATTTTGTGGTGAAAACAGTTCCAGGAATGAGAAGATGCCCGATTACCAGATACTAGGGTTCTTTATTCTCTTTTCAGGGATTTTTTTCCAGGTCCTTGGTGTCCTGAACAAAGAATTGGAGAAGACATATCGAAAATATAGCAAGGTTTTACATTTACTATGGGTAGGAAAAAAAGTTTGCTCTTGCAGAGTGAGAGGGGCCACTGAGAGAGTTCACGGTGGCCACAAGGTTGGTGGCAGAAATCTTTTTTAGCCCTCATTCTCAGGCTGATGTCTTCTAAACCTACTAGATTTTTGAGCCAGAAGAATTGAAGATAGCACTTTCTGAATGGTTCCAGGTGCAGAGCTTGGGAATTTGTTTTGTACACGTGTCCTGTATCTCCATGATTGACAGGTCATGCCCACTTGCTCATCCGTTAGCTGTGCCCTAATCGCCTGCCTCACTCCTGAGTTCTGGTTCTCACTGAGCTACCACTGCCCTGGGACCTTGGACCCTCCACCTTGTTCACAGTAAGCATTGAATAAACATTTACAAAATGAACGAATAAGTGAATAAGAAAACCCAAGAAGGATTTTTACATAAACTTCTTGGGCCTCAGTTTTCTCATCTGTCTAAACAGAATGTTCTTTTGACATCTATAGTTCAAACAGCTAGAAGTACCCACTATACTTTGAGCACTGTCCTAAGAATAAGACTAAAAATGTCAAGAAAATTGATAAGATGCAGCCCTTGATCTCAACCGTCTCCGGACTAAATCACACCTGAAGTCTTGACCCTGCCCACACAGAAATCCCTATCTACAAGTAGATCAAATTTAGATTTGGAAATGACAAAGATGGGGTATGTTGTCTTTTCCAAGAAAGGAGAGCAATTTCAAACAAAGGCTATCGAAAGGTGAACGTGAAACCTGAGAATGCTCCCAGCCTGTGCTCAATCATAGGAACTGCTAACACCAACACTGTCCTCTTTCTGAGCTTTCAACTCCTTCCAATGTGAATCAAGTTCTTCTAATTAGAGGGCTTATGTGCTTGGCTATCACAAAAGTCAGAATCCTCCATCCACTGTTGGCCTGCTCTGCAAACTTTAGGTGGACCCCAGTTTGTGCAGCAGGAAAGGAATGGCAAGGAGGCTGTCCTATATTTAAATTGGGGAATTTTCCTGGCTTCCTGTTCCCCAAAGACATGCCCAGAAGGGAGCAAAGATGTCAGGAGCAGAGAGACTGTAATACTCATAGGATGAGACTTCAAAAGGAAATAGCACAAGCTGGAAATAATTGATGTGTCTTTAATGCTTTAAATATGCCTGCTTTTGTTTATTTTTTTAATCTCAACAAGTCACAGGCACTGAACGGTAAATCAGATTTCGGTTTCCCACTCTTTTGATACTCCAGTTTAAGAGGAGCTTTTACATGGCTTTCAAAGATAAAACTTCAGAAAGCCCTAACTCTATGCCTAGGAGGCAGGAAAAGCAGCCACTTTTGAATGGGGCTGATCAGTCCTCTTCAAAATGAGGTAGAAACCCTGAAGTACATTGAGGTAGGAATTACACAGATAAATTGGCTGGGAGCTGAGAAAAGCAAGAAATTGTGAGATCAGAGAAGTAAAAGGTTTCCACTTGTGATTAAGACAAGAGTCAATCAGAAATCAGTGTAGGTTTCTAAGCAGAGGATGGGCATTGGGAAAATTCTATTGATGAAAGATCTTTCTAGTAGTATCCATGCTTGTCAAAGATTAGAATAAATAGATTTACTAATAGATCAAATTTAGATTTGCAAATAACAAAGATAGAGTATGTTGTCCATTTTTGTAGGCTTCACTCAAATGTCAAGAGTTATTTGTTTTTGGTTTTGTTTTTTTGTTTGTTTGTTTGCAGTACCAGGGATCATCTCAGGACCTTGCGCTTGCAAGGCAGGTAAGGTGCCGCTGAGCTAAATCACTGGCCCTGTTAAGAATATTTTGGCTAAAATGTACCAATAAACTAAAAAAATATATTTTTGGTGCTATCCAGTATTTAGTGGTACCTTGGTTTATGAACTTATTTGTTTTACAATTTTGGAGAACATGGTTTTTTGTTTGTGTGGGAAAAATGGCCATGGTTGTGTTTGTCACCTGATGTGCAAACAAAAAAAAATTATCTAATACTTTTATTTGCAAATGTTCGTGAACAGAGGATTATATTTAGTCATATACTCCAAAAATAATTATTAAATACCTACTATGTGTTCATTCCTCTGAGAGACACCAGAGAGGAAGAAATTGTTGGTCTCATCAGCAAAACTATACAAAAATGTAATAAAATGTGAAAGCAAAAAGGGCACAGTTTACTGCCAAGGAATGGACCAGATACTACATGTTATTTGCAATTTGTCGGAGAGTTGCCTAAGAGGTAACAATGTCTGGATAAAGCAGGTGGAAGGAAGGTGGGGCTGGTGCAAAGATTCTAATCCAGGCTAGGGGATGAGGTTGGCAATGATTTGGAGGGAGGCATAAGAAGAGTATTTGATGAAGCTGGGGCATGGTAGTGAACACCTGTAATCCCAGCAATCAGAGGCTGAGGCAGGGAGTGATCACTGTGAGTTCAAGAATAGCCTGGGCTATATAGTGAGTTTCAAGTCAGTCTCTCCCTGCTTAAAAAAAAAAAAAAAAAAAAAAAAAAGATATTTGAGGACTTGTCTGAGATGCAAGTTTTCAAATGGTCTCCTGGAAACGAAGAGAGGGTCTTTAAGATCTTTGAGACAGAGCTCACCACTTTACATGACAAGTTCAAAAAAAGGAATCTGGCCACAATATTTGGGGTGGGTTGGAGATAGGAGAACTGAGGAAGGAGAGGTGAGTTGGGGAATACACCAAAGTGAAGAAACAGGCCTGGGAGGGTGGGTCAGGCAAAGCCGAAGACAACACCAGGTTCCCTGTGGCCCTTTGAACTCTTCAGGGCCCAGCCAGCTGTTCAAGCCATCCAAAGAGCAAACTGGACACCAGACACCAAATCCCTGCTCATGCCAGGAAATGAACACGTTTGTTGCCTAAGTCAAGCCTGGAGAACAGAACAAAACCCCTCAAAGTGTGCTTTCCATCTGCAGCCCACATCCCCGGCAGCCAGCCCACCATTGTGGAAAGGGGGATTAATGAAACACAGACATCCAAGGCCTACCCTTATATTATTCATTTTTCTTGGAAATGTCTGAGGTTCTGTGATCCCTCTCTAATCCCATATGCCATACTTAGTTTATATTTTGACAGGCCCAGGGCTGGCTGCTTGGGCCAGCATCCAGGGCCTTCAGTCCATGCTGAGGACAGGCCCAGCAGGCTGGCAGGGCCCCATTTCCAGGTGGCACCAGCCAGTCCCAGGAGCCTAGTTTTCTGGCACTAATCCTAGAATAGGAAACCAGAGGAGGGGGCATCTTTTAATATTTTTCTTCTTTTTTCAAAATTTGAAGGCAATAAGAGTTTTTTTTGGGTTATCTAACTGAATTAAATTTCTGAGTTCACAAAAGTCATTCATTTTATTTGTTCTGTAACTATTCTAACCCCAGAGATTCTCCACAATAAATTTCTCTTTCTAGCTGAGACTCTGTGCTTCATTTTCCTGAATAATCTGTCATTTATTCTGTTACCCAGTAACCTGCACCCAAGATTCCCGGCTCTGAACCAGCAGTGTCTTGGCTTTTTATTTCAGATAGCACTGCCACAGTGAGATCACTTTCTGCTCCAGAGAGGACATTTATTTCTTTGGGGCTTCTGGTTTATCTTCCTTCTTTGTTAAAAAAAAAAAGGTGAGTAAAAAACCACTCACGTGAGTAATTTTTAATTAGCCAACTAATGAAAAAGTGGTTTCTGGAAAATATATCAGCTCTTACCTTTCCGGAGGTCCTCTGCTTCAGTCAGTCACTGTGTCACTGCTGATCCTGACTGTCCCCTACTGTTTGAAGTAGTTTGCTGCTCTGTCCTTGTTTACTAGTGTCTAGTAACAATGGTGTTATTGCCCAATGATACATTTTGAGAGTGCCACCCGGCAGGGAGTAGTACAGTACTGCCCTTAGAAGTGTTTTGAAAATAACCACCCTGATCCAGTCTGTTTCTCCTGTGGCTTGATCCTGCTCTGGCTCAGCAAACCCTCCTTGTATGCGGGATACAATTTCTCATCATAGTTCCTCTGGCCTCTACTGGTCTGTTAGAATGCTGGAGTGCCCACGGCCCCCTCGATTGATTACCCTAACCAATGCCTGGACAGCAGCCACCAAGGCCACACCCTTTCTCTGTTTCCTCACGTCAGTGGATGCCCTGAGATAACAGAATTTTGGACTTGGACTTATTTCCAGATGGAACACAGAGTTCTCTAGAAAGGATGGTATTGCCTTGGCTTTTGTTTGCTTGAAAGGCATAGTGTGCCCTTCAGGAAGCCAACAACCATTTCCAACTCATTTTAGTCATTATCCTTCATATTTTTTTTCTTCAATATGATCAAGTAATGAACAAGTAGTAGAAATCATAGATGGTTCATGTGGGTAAAAGCTAACAGATAAATTCTAAAATGAGAAATAGTAGCATAGAGTCTGTCTGACACACAAAATGGGTGTCTAATCCTTAAAAGGGTGATCACGGTCACATTATATCCAATCTGAGTGAGGCTCCTCTCCAGAGTTGGACCATCAGGGCCAGTGAAAAGGATTTATATTCTGTAAACTTAGAAATTAAGTCTGTCAGTTGACAGGCCCTAAACAAAATCATAAACTTTGAAATTAGACAGACTTGGATTTTAATCCTAAGGTTTGTCATTTATTACCTGAAATCTCAGCCTTGTGTGAGCCCCCTCAGCCTATCTTCTTAGCCTGTTTTTTCTCATCTTGAAATGTGACTGGAAATAACTATCTCAATAATGATGTTAAGGAAATTCAATGAAACTATAAACCTGAGTAACCACTAGCACAGTGTAAGTACTCAATAATTGGTAGCCATTATTATTATAATTAATAACATTAACTGTAATATTGTTAGTATAATTAGCAATAGTAGTTGTAACAAAAAGCAGATTTTGTGCATTCCTATTTAAATTTTACATGTGGTATAACTACAACTTTAGCCCTTCAAATAACATTAAGAATAAACACAACAGATAGGCCTCGATGCCCACTTAATATGGTATATAAAGATTATAACAATGAAGAAATGGAAGAAATATGTTTGGTTAATTTTGTTGAGTCCAGTACAAAGTATGTTTAATAAATCAAAAATTTCAAGGACTTACAAGATTTTACACACTAATTTCTGCTTAATTTCAAGTCCCATGTTAAGATAATACTAACAGACCTCTTTTAAAAATGTTTATAAAATGTTTATTAGAACATGTTTTTAGTAATAATATATTCCTTATATAGAGTTGGTGCATGTATATAACATGGCTTAATTTCTTTTTCTATCCTTTTTCTTTCCTTCCCCTCTCCTCCCTCCATCTCTTGATCCCTTTCCCCTTTAAGAAAGATCTATCTCCCTAGTTCGTATTATCTAACTTTTATTTTGCTCTTTATTTATAATTTGGGCTTCTCACTTAAAAGAAACCATGCAATATTTAAGCTTGTGTGTCTGATTTACTTCACTTAACAGTTGAATAATATAAATTTCACAAAAATATAAATGCTAATGCAAAACATTTTGTTCATGGGTTCAGTTTCTACAAATGGCAGCCAAGATGATAAATTAACTTTTTAAAAGAATTTTGAAAATGTACTCTAGAAAACGCCATTTTAAAAATACGAAATAAAAAGGAAAGAAAACTGAAGATAGAGGTGAAGGTAAAAACCGAACAAAACAATGACAAAATAATGCAACAGGAAAAACAAAAAGTGACACCAAAGAATGTAAAAATATGGCATAGATATATAGTTTCATGACTCACACTGAAATCTGATAACTGCATTTTAATGATTTAACAAGGTCAGATCTCCCTTCAACCCAAGCCTGAGTACCCTGCTGGGGAAAGAAAGAGAAAAGGAAGCCATGTTTGGCCACATGATTTTGTAGCAAAAACAAAACAAAACAAAACAAAGCAAAACAAAACAAAACAGATGAGGTGAGATCTTTTCTTTCTTTTTTTTTTTTTTCTCCATGTGTAGAGCTCTTTGATCTACTGCTCTATCCTGGCTCCCACCCCCCAGCCACAGTGATTGCTTCAGAGAAAGTTATGCGAAAATTCTCATCGGTGATGGCCTGGTTCACGGTTTGGTGGAACATGATGGGGAGAGAAAACTCAGATTTTTAAGCAGGACCTCAAAATTAGAAGATGTGCTACTACTACTGCCCAAGCATCACTAGACCTGCCAGGAATTTAGCTCAGAGCCAGGATGCTTGCCTTGCAGGCACAAGGTCCTGAGTTAGATTCCCAGTACCAAAAAAGAAAAAAAAAAATCACTAGACTGAAGCCAACAATAGCAGAAACCAGAAACAAGAAACGGAGAGAAACTGAGTCCTGATAATCCCTTTGAGCACTGAACCCAGCTGTGCCTAACCCTGCTTTCCAGTTTATGTAAACCAATGAATTCCCTTCTTTTTCAACCCAGTTTGGTTTAGGATTTGGTAACTTGCAAATTAAAGTGATTTAATGATATAAAGATCCAGTATCAAAAATAAGCAAATAAAATCAAGAAAAAATCTAACTTTAAACCAAGTGTTGTGGTACATGCCTGCAATCCTGGCCCTCTAAAAGACTGACCCAGGAGGGTCATGAGTTCAAACTCAGCCAGGGCAAGCAATTTAGTAATCCCTATCTCAAAATAAAAAATAATAAATAAAGGACTGGGGATGTGAAGGCCCTGGGTTGAACCCCCAATACTGAAAGACAAAATAAACTTTAAACTAGGCATAAATAAATCAGAAGTTCTCTGATCACTGTTAGAGTAAGACCCACAACAGCACATTGGGCCTAGAAGTTTCTACAGATTGTTCCATGGAATAATGACAAACCTTCACATAAAAAAATAATTAATCCAAAAAAGCATCCAGCTCACACTGTGTGGTCATATGTGATCAAGCGGGGAGTTTCAAGGAAGAAACCAGAAAAAGTATTTGAATTCAAGGTAGTGACTCTGGAGGGAAGATAGAGCAAGACTTAAGGAGTCCTCAAGAAACTGCTGCGGAGGCAGCTGTTTTACATGCGCCCTGATGAGGAGAAGCAATGGGTAGCTCACAAATGTTGAATAAGGATACTTGCAATAACTGAGTTATGTAAAGCTTCTGTGACTTCTTATTCGAAAAGTTTTCCCAAACTTGGGAAGAAACCCTCAGGGCCTGAAAGAGAGGGGTGTGATTCTTCTAGCACACAAGCAGAAAGTACTCAGACAAACAAGGAATTGTAGTTTTATGAAACAGGGACTGTACAAAGCAGATGCATTAGCAATCTGGAATCAGCTTAGGACAGTGCATTGTTTGTTCAATTCCTGGTAGAAATCCTGCCCTCCAAATTATTTTTAATCTTATATGGCAATATATTTGCTAGAAAAGAGCTTTGATGAAATATTAGCATAAAAATCCCTTGAAACAAGCACAGCTGAGAAGAATCTTGGAACTCAGGAACTTCTCTCCACAACCACAGTTAGTGCAGTGCCTGTCCCAGGCAGGGCAGAGTGTGGGGTGGTGGCAGGCTAAGAGCTGGGAGACAACAGGGGCAAAAGCTCACATTTTTCTCTACATTAAGAACTCTGCACTAAAACCTACACTCTTTTGAAGTATGTATTTGAAGTATCTGGCACTATTTAGTTTTGCTTCTACTGGATAAACATGAGGAACTGTTTAAAAAACAGGGCAGGATTAACTCAGCCCAGAACAGTCAAATACCAAGATTTGAGTCTTTGGGCAGGGCATTTGCCAACTACAGAAGGCCAGCGTTCCACCTGGGAATCGAAAGGAATCATTCTACATCTGAGCTCCCTCCCATGCCGTAAGGTGACTTATTTGGGTACCATACACCCTAAAGCTGTGCTTATAGCAGGGAAGCATTTCTAGCAGTCCTCATTTTATGTGGCAGATGGAAGTCTGCCTCTGTGTTGAAAAACATGGTCTCTAAAATGAAATAGGCATCTCAGTTAAACACTGAGAATCGGTCCTAGAACAGTCCGTAGAAGATAGCAGGCACTTAATAAATAAATATATAAATGCAAACAGCATGAGTAAATTAAGGAATCACTTAAAATCAGACCGGAAGAACAGCCACCTGGAGGAGTTTTAGAATGGAGATCAGATGACAGTCAGTCAAGAGGACAAGTATTCATGGCAGGATGAGGTGGGAAGTCCGAAGGGAGCAGATATGAGTATGTATTAACCTGGCTTCGGCTCACACTGCTCGCCATGCGCTTGGGAAGAGAAGAGTGTCATGAAGATATGAACTGACACTGTAAATCAGCCCTACTGATGAAATAAGGGGCACAGAGAAAACGTTTTAAAACGAGTCAGACAGGTTCTGGGGGTTGACGGTCAAAGAAAGCCGCACATGGAACTGACATTAACATGGAAAGTTTGGATCCGTGTCTAGAAGCTAGGTTTGCTGGGCAGGGGAGGTATGATGTGCATGCAGTCATGTGACACATTTGGGGCCAGAGTGACACCCAAATATCTCTAATCTTCCTGTATCTCTTGGAATTTCGGCCATGCTCCTGGTTCATGCCATCATCTCTGTCATCTCCGAATAGAAGCCTCCAGCTGGATTGCCAGTCTTTTTATGCTTATCTCTTCTGATTTCCCTGTCCTCAAGGCAACAAGAGTGACTTTGTTTTATTTTATTTCATTTTTTGAGACAGGGTCTCATTTTGGAGTTCTATATGCAGCCCAGCCTGGCTTTGAACTCTTGCAATCTTCCTGCCTCAGCCTCCCAAGTGCTGAGATTATAGATGTGTACCACCATACCTGACTTTCTAAGAGTAGTATTTTTAAAAGGCAAATTTTATCTCTTTCCTCCCTTGGTTAAAGCCCTATAACAGTCCCAACTCCTAAGACTCAAATCTAGCTGGATCTGCCCCTTCTTCTCTTCCTCTTGTCTTCACTTTTCTAGGTCTGTCTCTGCCCTCAAGAGTGTTTGACCTTCCTTCGGTTACCTCTGTGTTATGCCTTCACACCCCTGGGCTTCGTATGTGATCACAGCCATCAGGAAAGCTTTTCCTGTTTGTCACTACAACTCCTGTTCCCAGGTCAGATTTCAAC